AATATAAAAGGATAACCTCGTGATTCTCCATTTTCCAGCTACTATCAGACCAACATCATTCATTAGATTTTATCTTCAATTTGATAAGAACAAGAAACCAAATCTCTTGTAAGTCCCATCGACATTTAGAAAACAGGGGAAGCGGATCATACAAATCTTTGACAGTATTAGGTGGTCAAGGAGGAGAAGCTTCTAGGCTGCGTTGGAGATCATTAAGGAGAAAAAACAGGAAAAAATGTTCTCAAAATTTGTATCATAGTAACATGCAGTAGCTAATGATGTTGTGGTTATTCTGACCCATGGTTTGTGAACAGTGAGATTATTTTTTAAAAGATTATTCATTGCCCCTCACTTAGAATCAAATATTGGGTCGGTGCATGCATGCCTCCTAAATTTACTTTCGGTCATATCATATCAGCAGAGAGCGTCAAAGTAAAACCCTCTTTTCCCATAAAAAGGTTAACTATCACAGCATTCAAATCTTGCTTCCTGTTAGGTAATGATAATGTCTGATTCAAGAAAGTTCCCGAAATAATCTTACATTAAAATATAATAAAAACGTTTAATATAAATTTATATAAGTGAAATTTAAAAGTTTACAAGTTAAAATTTTTTAAAATGACAGACTGAATCTAGCTCTATGCGGATTGTAAGTTAATACAAGTTGATTGCATAATTACACTTTACGTAATAATTAAACAACAGTTAATTGAAAAAATTATAAAAGGATAAATCTAAAGAAAAAAAATATTATTTTTATTATGATTATTAGTGGATAGTGAACAGCGGATTTACGTAATTAGGTTAGCACTGAACGCACTTTTTATCAAATTTAAACTAAAAAAACAAATAAATTCATTTTTATTTAAAATTTAATAACTTAAATTTTACTTTTTAACGAATATATTTAGATAACTTGATCGAATTAATCTACTGAATCTGAAAATGCATATATAATTTTCAAGTTGCATCTCAACCATGCCGCTTGATTATATAAACTAGATATAGATTATGAAGTTAATAAACAATAAAATGTTATTAAAATTATACTATTTAATATTATTAATTTATTAAATTATATATTTTTAATAACTAGATTTAGGGGATATTTTTGTCTCCACCCAAAATTTTTTTTCCCACAATATCAAAACTTCTGAAATCTGATATTATAAAGCTTAAGAACAGAACCGACACGAAAATAGTTGACCAATTATTAAATGGCAAACATGAAAATAAAGAACACGTGGTGATTAAAATGAATTATTGATAGGGTGATAGCCATGTGCATGGATATTTATAATCTGCTAATTACTTAAATAATAAATATCAATTCTGATTAGGTTGTAAGGGGGTTCAAAAGTCTTCAATAACATCATAGAATATGTCAATGCTAAATTTCACTAATTTCTATTGGTTGATGTCAATTTGTCTCAACTCAACCCTTTTAGTGCAGCGCGTGTTTTCTCAAACAATGCTTTTTTTTGTTCTGTGGTCTCATTAATTAGAGTCCTCTAATTAAAGAATTGCTACTTTTTATATAATCAAATGAAAGATTTATTGATTCAATTATCTCACATTTATACTTTCAATAATTTTTAATAAAATATAAGATTTTAAATTACATAATATTATTTTTATAATTATATATATTAAATTTATATAATTTAAATATTTCTAAGTTTATTATTTAATAATTTATATTTATTTATACTTAATAACATGATATAATTAACTATCTATTAATTTTATTTTACCGAATGTAAGAACTAAAAAAAAAAAAAAATTGATATTAACAAATATAACTAACTCGACAATAGTATGTTTCCAGGTTTTGCTTAAGCATGTAATTTGATGAACAGATAATTTATTTAACTAAAATATAACATTTACATATGACCAAAAGTTGACCGTAGAATTTACCTTTAATTTATTGCTACTTTTTTCTAAAATACTTCAATTCTATATTGTTTTACGGCAATAATAACACAGACCTTTCCTAAAGTTAGCAATAATTACATTTACTTTTAATTTCTGATATATATTAATCATTTACAAATATTAAAAAGTCTATGACATTTTTTAAAAATAAAAAGTGTTGATATGTAAAAAGAATATATAAAATAAAATTATATATATTACTAAAATAAATTTTTAAGTGTAATTATTATTAATCTCAAGAGAAGTTAAGGTAATTTTTCTCTTATTTTATTAACAAGTCTACTTCTGTAATTTTTTGTATTTGATAACTTTATTTTAGAAGATATAATAACATTAAAACAGAGAAAAAAGTGTGAGGTGTAAATATAAAAGTTTTAGCTAGTCTAAGTCTGCCAACGAAGAGATGGAGCCAAAGCTTCACCATCATCGATCAGTAAAAACAATGATACCTAAATGCTTCATCATCTCCCACGAATTAAACTTTATGACGGCTCAACCCACACTCAAAGAGAATTAATTATTCTTAAAATACCTTTTAATAGAAGAGCTCAACCCACACTCACTAAATGATAAATTTTGAAGGAAAAAAATGTTGCCTTAACCTTAAGAAAATCAATATAACATTGTAATTACTTGAATATCGATTCATTAGATTTATTTTCAAAATTGATAGAAATTATATAAACGAAAACAATATACCATATAACATACTCAATCACATAAAGGCTTGATTGATTTCTAAGTGTACATATTACTTGTTGAATTTTGCTAATGATTTTGGTAATTGTTACTTTAATAGAATATATTTTCTTAGAATTAAAATCAATAAAATTTCGTTGCGATCAATATTATCTCAACAAAAGTAAAATACATTGACTATGTTATCAATTGAAAAAAATGTTACAAAAAAAAATAATTTTTGTAAATAATTTCACATCTCTAAAAACTAAAAAAAAAAATTATATAAAAAATACAAGACTTCAAAAAATTGTAAAACGTCTCATCTTAAGATTTCACTCTACGTATTAACAGAAAGGGGTTTCTCACTTAAATTTGACCTGCAAAAAATTGCATATTAATACATAAAATAAAATGCTAATTAAACCCGAAAGCAACTAAGAAGTGAGTTGTTTAATTAAATGGTAGTGATGGGTCGAATAATTGATTAGCTTGATTTATTATCCATTCACCATGCAAGATGTTCCCTCTGTTTCTCTCCCAAACCAGACTCAATTGCCTCTAATTAAGTAGTAGGTAGATGCATATACGGAGCATAGCCCGTGATTAGCTACATTGAACAGAGAATGTTTCTAGAAATTTTTTAATAAATGGTTTTAATAATTTGTTTACTAATTAAAAAAATTAAATACCTTTCTAGTTTTTAAGGAAATAAACTTTTTATTCAATATTTTTGTATATGTAATTAAGATGTTGAGAAAACAATATCAATTACTAAAACATACAATATTTTTTAAGAGATTGAAAATGTAAGAGAAATCTTATCTAACATATAATTTTTTTTAATATTTAATATTTTGATAAATATTCTAATTTTTAAAGACATGATTCGTCTTTAAAAATGAGAATATTAACAAGGATGGTAGGATACTGATTAAAATATTAAATTTTTTTTTTTTTTTATCATCATACATTCAACATAATATTTTATATAATTTTATCCTTAACTAAAATAAAGTTTTCTATTTAATACTTCCTGAGTCTACTCTTTTGAAAATAGATAAATATTTTGAATTCTTATTAAAGAATTAAAAATATTTTTAAAAATATAATAAAAAATTTCACTGTAATTTTAATAAAATGTTTTTATTTATTAATTTAAAAAATACTTATTAACCAGATTTTTTCTTTAAATAAAGCGTGCGATGGAGAAGCATTTCCTTGGTATTTTCTACAATTCTACCCCAAGTGTTGTAGCTTTCAGTTGTTTTGAAAATCCTGAATTTGGGAAGACATGTCACAATTCCATTTGTGATAACTTCCAAAATTAATATGTAATGATTTACAGCTTGTTGAGGTTGAGGACCTCAAGTCTCTAAGAGGGTTGGAATTAGAAAATGAGCCTCGTTACCCTAATTTGTGGAATTTTAAATATAATACTTAAATATTTTTATATTATCCTTTAGTTAAAATTCAAGTTTATTTTAAGAACTAATATTACGCAAGTTAATGAAAATTTGAGTAAAGTAAATTTTTTATTTTAATTAAAAATTAAATAAAATTTCTTGAATTATTGCCTTTAAATTTTGTTCTTACATATATCTTATTAGGAGTAATTTTTTGTATAAACAAAATATATATAATTAGAGAGAGTTTATGGAGAATTCAAAATCTATATATGTATAAAAAAATTAATACTTACTTAAAAAAAAAATATTTATATATAATTAAAATTGATGTAATTTTATGAGTTTAAATATCTTATTAGAAGTGATTATATCTAAACTTGTAAAGATTTATTAAAAGAATTTACTCTATTGAATAACGCTTCTTACACATCTCAAAATTACATATGTACACCGTATTAAGAGAATTAATAATTAAATATATAGTAAAATTTTTGTACATATATAAAATGATATAACACGTGAATGAAAAGTATTTTTTATATAAATAAAAAGGATTTTTTTTATTGTCATAAATATGATACATGGTTCATAGTTGGATCTTGAATTTGTTAAGTTTATAATATTTTATAGAAATGAATAACATAAACCCTTTAGTAAAAAATACCTTATCCTTCACGGAGTCATTAATTTTAATTTTTAAAATGCTTTTATATTTATATCTTTATCTTTTTTACTCTTTTTATTTTCGTTTTATCTCTCTTCCCTACATAGTTTATATATATATATATATATATAGGCGCGTAATATGCACACATGATGAAAAAGGCGTGGATACAAATAAGCGATCTCCGGGGCAAATTCCATGCACACGCTGTCCTCTTGAATTACAAATTCTTTTTCTTAATTGGAACTTTGAACGTTAAGAGGCATAAAAGAATTTCACTTTATGCCTTTTCCCTCACACACACATACAAGGGTACTATTTTTGAATGGTGCCTTTGCCACTGCCGTCTCCTTAATCCACACCACACCAAGAAAATGGAAGCATCTTCTCCATCATCGGTTTCACCTTCAATATCCCACCTACTTTATCTCCTCCTTCTTTACCTTTAAACCACACACTTTTCACCATTCTACCTCTTTTTCCATTTCCTCAACTTAGTGCATATTTTCTTAGTGTTATGGGGGCTGGGACTTCCTCAACTTCAGCTAATAAAGGAGAAAAAGATGGAGGATCTAGTTCATCATCATCAAGGCCTAGTCTTGGTGATATCCCAGAGAGTTGCATCTCCTCCTTGTTCATGAATCTTGATCCACCCGATATATGCAAACTAGCCAGAGTGAACAAAGCCTTTCACCGAGCTTCCTCAGCTGACTTTGTATGGGAATCAAAGTTGCCACCAAGTTACAAGTTTCTTGCCAATAAAGTTCTTGGTGAAGAATATCATGCTGCTATGACTAAGAAAGAGATTTATGCAAAACTTTGTCTACCCAATCGCTTTGATGGTGATTCCAAAGTAAGTTAATTAACTCTTCTATCTTAATTAAATAATTGAAAATAAAAAGTTTTTATGAAAAAAATGTTTCTTGTACACCTAATTTTTTATTTATTAATGTCTTAATTAGTGTTTTAAAAATAATTGTTAGCAATATTCTTAATATTTTGGTGGGGATCGTTCTTCATTAACATCACTAGTAATTCAAGTATTTTGAGTTTTCCTCTCTTATTCTTATTTTCATTCATTTGTTATAGTTGCTCTTTTCTGGTGATTATTATAGGAAGTTTGGTTGGACAAGTGCAGTGGACAAGTTTGTTTGTTTATGTCATCCAAGTCCTTGAAGATTACAGGCATAGATGATAGAAGATACTGGAACTATATTCCAACTGAAGAATCCAGGTGAGAGATTTATAGATATTTTAATGTTTTTTTGACTTGTACATTGGAACCTTTTTCTTCTCTCCTGTGTTTGATCTTGTTTTTATGTTGAAACTGGATTTATAAAATGTCAGGATTTTGAAATGTTTCTGGTCAAATCGTGTGTCCTGACCCCTCCACCTTTTCAATGGTCTCCCTTTCCCTAGATTTCCTTGTGTTTTCAGAAAATTATTAGCTCGCTAAAAAGTTCTTGCTTTCATAATTTTTCTTGTTGCAAATATTAACAACTGTTTTTAGGATGTTATTAAAAATGAAAAATATAATGAAAATAAATTATTTATTATACTAAATATAAAAATTATTTAATATACTTTTGAAAATAATTCTAGACATTTTAATAGAATATATTAGATGCTCTTACAAGTGTAATCAAGACACACATCAATAAGATTTATTATTATTGTCATTAACGCGGAAGAAAACTTTTTGTTATAAGAAGTAATCGTTCATGAACAAATAAAAAACTGACACATTGTGGAAGAATATATCACTTCATGAAAAATTCATAGTTAAAATGTTTTTCTTTTTTAACAAAACTGTTTATCGGTAACTTCTACGAAACACATGGAAGAATTTTCAAAATTTGGATGCGATGCAATATAAAATGAAAAGAGAAATATAACAGACTAAACATTAATTAGCAGAAGTCTAAGTTATACCGATCACTCAAAATCAAGAATGATATAGTAACTTATTTTTAAAAGAAGTGATGGAAAAAAAAGTTTTACTTCTCTAATAGTTTGCAAAAGGAAAGGGTAATTTGACATAAATATCTTACAAATTTTAAATCCAAACGCGTTCAATATACTGAAAATATCGTTACATTAATTGATTTTATTGATGAAAATAATTATGGTCTCCAAAGTAGTTATATAAATTTAATGTAAAACATGTTTGACACTTTTAACCAAAAGAAAAACTTAGAAGAAACGGGAATGCTTGTCGAGTTGAACAACTTTGCAAACACCCATTCTGCTTAATTAATTATTCACACTAAAAGACTTTAATTTAATTATTATTTGTAGCACATGATATTTTCCAGAAAATATGAGGGAAGCTTTCACCTTATGTTTAAGATAAGAGTTTCTAAACGAGTGGGCATTGATTTTAAAAGCTTATGGACAATGCCATTGGTTTTTCCCTATTCTAGCAACTAATTCTTTCGTGGTCAACCGTTAATATCTTATAGTTAGTAATTGAAGAAAAGAAACGAGTGCAAGCAATTTACGCCAAGAATATATTACCCAAATTGCTGAAAAGGATTTCTATTTAAGGGAAAAAGTAATTTTAATTAATATATATTATGTCATATTCTATTTGTGATTAGCTGTATTGCTTGCAACAAAAGCTTCTTTGGCCATTTGTTTAATGCTTCTTGTGACTTCCGTTATAAATTAATAATAATATACTTAGGATATATGCATGCATTTTATCGTTATGCGCTTTTTTCTTGGCATAAGAACCTCCCATTAAAGCTATAATATGCGATTCGAATAAATATATTATTATTACTTTTGTTGGAATTTATTCAATTTGTTGGGAGAAAAGGTATAGAGCTTTACGAGAGAAGAAAAAAAAACTATTTTTATGTGATTAGGTCTCGACCCCATTCAAAAATATCTAATAAAGATCCTCACTCTAAAACGTGAAATGTTTTCCACCGGTTAAATAGGGACACCAACTCCTAGTTTCATGGCTTTTACAAATTAATTTGAATTTCTTTATGACATAGGTAAAAATTGGAAGGAACACTTAAAAATTAATATACAGAAAGATATAGTGAATTTTTTTTTTAATTATTATTAACGGACTAAAAGTCCAAAGAAAACCAATAAAACGAAATACAATGAGAAAAGGTACTCCCCAACTATCCTCTTTACCGAAAGGAATCATTAATCAAAGAGTGGGGAGAGCATCAAGAACTAAGCCATAAAAAGACATTTATGACTTATATTAGCAAGGTGGTCTGCACAAAACAATTAACAAAATATTACATATGTTATTTCATGCAATATGTTTGATTCCTAATAAGATGATATATTCAAGTATATATAATAGATATTACTTTTGATAGTAGATGTGTCTAATTTAAGTAAAATTATTTTTTGTGAAAGATAAGCGGGATCTAAATAAAAAATTAACACATATAAAATCTTTACTAGTATATGATCATTATGGTGAAAATTAAATTGAAATTATGAAACTGGAGAAGGGTTAATGAACTATGGCAATTGTTTTTATACTAGCAGGTTCAAGAGCGTTGCATATCTTCAACAAATGTGGTGGGTTGAAGTGGTTGGGGAGCTAGAGTTTGAATTCCCTGTGGGGAGTTACAGCTTAATTTTCAGACTCCAATTGGGCAAGGCGTCCAAAAGATTGGGTCGGCGCGTGTGCAACGTCGATCAAGTGCATGGTTGGGACATCAAGCCCGTCCGATTCCAACTCTCAACATCAGACGGCCAGAGTTCACTCTCAGAGTGTTACTTATGTGGGCCTGGTGAGTGGCTCTACTACCATGTTGGAGAGTTCGTGGTCGAAAATCCCAATGAACCCATAAATATCAAGTTTTCTTTGGCCCAAATAGATTGCACTCACACCAAAGGTGGCCTCTCTGTAGATAGTGCCATCATTTGCCCAACGGAGTTTAGAGAAAGGCTTAATCAAATTTAGCTAATTATATTTTACACGTTATAATTATACATTTGTGTAAGAGTAAAAAAGGGCATTTTTCTTACAGAAAATTGGTATTTAAGGAAAGTACTCAAGTGGCCCTTGTTTTTAATTGGGTTTGAGTGTTCTCTTACATGTGTAGGAATGAAGAATGTGAAATAATAGTACTAACTACTGCAGTTATAGAGAGAAATTTATTGTAATACTGGTTCCTTCTCTGTTATTTTACAGTTCATTACATTTCGCTTTCTTAAAATTTCATGTTCAAAATTCTCTCAGTATATATCAAAAGTTTAAGATATTCGATTGAATCAATCATGTTTGGCTTGTATTGAAATAAAGGAAACCATGAGAAATTTGTGAAGGGCCACGACATGTCTTCGAAATAAAAGAATATTCAACATATGTGAAGTTCACTATATATTAATTAGCAACATTTGAAGTTGAAGAAAGTAATTACTAGATATCAATTAACCGTTTCCAGCAATTAGCAGATATTCAGGTCAAATATGTTAATTGGGAGGATGACCCGAGGGGAATTATATATACATCATTAATCCCAATATTTTAGGGTATCTAAGTATAGCAATTAGGTTGTATTTCTTGAAACATCATTAAGTCAAGATGATGCCTTGTATTCACCTCAACTAAAATGCACGGGACTGACACAGCAATTTATGATGGTGGTGTGTGCATCTTGAATCTGGGTTTGTTGTAGAGTGACACACAGCAATTTATCTTTTCCCAAAGTATTCCTCCACGTTTAAAATCAGTGGGTAAGTATCAAATAGGATTGAAGTTACTATATTGAAGACAAATGTCGAGAAAACAAAACAAGGTGAAAAAGCACGCGTGTCGTCGTATAAATAGGAAGCTTGCAGCTTTTCTTTAAATTGTCCAAGATAAATTACACTTGCCGTCGTGATACAAAACCCTCAAATAAGATCTCTAAACCTAATCAAGAACACGTGCGTCATGTCACAACAAATTCCATCAAGAAAATGAGCAGGGAAAAGAAAGAAAAGCATCAACTATTCAAAATATCCTGTACAAAGATAATAAAAGCTCAACATTTAAATCAAGAGAAGCCAATTACTGGACAAAGTTGTGTTGGTCAAGCTTTCCAGTCATAACCCAAGTTATCATCTAGATCACTGTTAAAAAAGCCACTGTCCAAGAAATCATTGCCAATATCTTGACCCACATCTTCTGGCAAATGGAGATTTTGTGGTATATCAGCTGTTCTCTGGTTGAATCCATTGTTGGCACCAGCTGCAGAAGAATCACTGTTTGAAGCAGCTTTGAAGCTATTGCTCCGGTTAGGAACAGGTCCATTACTCCCTGAAACAGTTGTAGTACCTGCAGTTACAGGTGGAGCCTGGCCTCCAAAGCCTAGCCCATTCTTAGCCATACTCCCATTTATACTGGGTCCACCAAGGGACTGTGGTTGCACCCCACCGTTGTTATTAGACATCTGCAGCAGTTGCTGGATCATCTGCTGTTGTAGAGCCTGATTTCCTTGGGAGCCCTGTGAATGATTTTGTTGCGGTAAGTTATTTGTTGCATTAAGAGAGCGCTGTTGAAGTTGTTGCAACTGGTGTTGCTGCTGCTGCTGCTGCTGCTGCTGTTGCAGATGGGGATTTGTGAAACCACTAACAGATAAATTCTGCATTGAGCCTGGAATTAAAGCAGCAGCAGCACCTTGCAAGGATGAAGATGGACTCTGGTTTGAATTATTGAAAGAAGATGACCCTTCTCGCAGAGTAGAGCCAGCAGAATTTGAATTCATTGAGTTTTGTCTCATGAGAAGATTCTGGTAGTTGGTCAGTGCCAAAGCAGCTTGTGCCGGCCCACTTAAAGCACCTCGATTACCCATATTATGATTAGTGTTGATTTTGTTCAAGCCAGGATGCATTGCCATTAGCTTAAGTGTGTTTTGATCAGTCGGCAGACCTTGAACATTTGTTAGTTGTTCCATCTCCTGCATCTTTTGGATATGAAGCTTGGCTGCATTTGCATGTCGAGGATAATTTTTCAAGCTTTCTGCGGATAAAAATTGAATCAATATAAGGGAGAAGAAAGAGGCACCTTATACTATAGAAACTGAAACAGCTTTACATAATTAAAGTCCAACCTACAAGAGGAGCACATCTATGGGATGTACTTATCAAAATTCCACTATATACTGAACTAAATCTTAGGCTCTCTATTTATAGGATGTACATATCATTTGCATATCAAAATTCCTTCATATTCTCCCACTTTTTTACTGCGTTATTTTATACATAAGATTTAAGACTGAACAGTTCATTCCAAAGATAATATGAGAAAGATGAGCGGAAGAACCAAAAGGCTGTATTACAGCCCCGCACAATGTAATACAGTCAAAAGAATTACCAATTGCACCAACTTTGTGCTCCGCACAGAAATCTATCAGATCTTTCATGCTATTAACAACCTCAGCTATCTGTCAACAAATTAAGAAGGCTTGATTAGACAGAGAGCAACAAGTGAACAAACAAATTAGGTGTTATCGATGTTACTTGTGACTTTCTGAATCTAGAATTTAACAGGATACCTGCAAACACCTCACATATCTTTTGGAGAAACCCAAGTCATTTAGAGACTGTAACTCCAAACTCTTTGCAAGATGGCGTCCAGCTGTCAATACCCTGATGCAGAATAGCATTATAATCAAGCCTTGGTGCAGTCACAAATTCATCATCACTCCAAATAAACAGTTAAGTAAGGATAAAAGCCAGGCATAACTTTTAAATTTTAACTAATCAACTCGAATTAATTTAACTAGTAACTGTAACGTATACGGTTTTATTCATATACATTTTAAATTTTTAACTACTTGCAGCTGAACAGGTGCCCAACTTAACAAGCAATCAGTTTAGACTCTTTAGACTAAAGAAAGAAAGAGATCCATGAAATTATAGTGAGAATGCTGAGATGGAAAAATAAATACTTTGGTCCTCTAATGTTATTTTCTTTATTAGATTTGGTTTTCTACTTTTTCTTTTGTTTGATTTTGGTCATTTAACTTACTTTTTATTTTGATTTGGTCATTTAACTTCACTTTTTGTTTCACTTTAGTCTTCTTTCTTTTTGTCTCATTTTCACTTTGCTTCCCTAACTTTATTTTAGAGAATCAAACCAAAATAAAAAAATAAAATTAGCGAAGTAAAATGAAGCAAAAAAAAATTAAAAAAATAACAAATCAAACCAAAATAACAAAAAAATTAGACGACCAAAATAAAATAATAGAAAATTTAGAAAATCAAATCGAAATAAAAAAAGAAAGTTAGAAGACCAAAGTGCTAATTTTATTGCTATGAGATGCCCTCAGTCTTGAATGTCCTCATTGTCAACAAATCACAATATCGATTAAGCAGCATCACCATATAATACTAAATACTTTATGCTGAAAAGAACCAGAGTCAAAAATTTGACACAAACATTTTATGCTCCAAAAAGGTCCTTTATCTCGTTTTCTTATTAGTGATTTGGAAATATGTTTCATTTCCTTTCGTCCCATCTTTACATTTCTTAGGTCTGCATAATTGTATCCCACACAATTACCACGAGGCATGCATCAAAAGGAGAAACCAGATATACTCACATATTGCTGTTTGTTTGCAGTTCCTGCTGAGAAATCCCATCAGATCCACTTTCAGCAAGTGTACTCTGGCATTTTTGTGCTACTTGAACCAATTGGTTAACCTACAATAGTATGGATCATAAGAATTAGGTTTCACAAAAACAATTATGTATGTTAATACAAGTATGTGTGTTATCAACATTCAACACTATGCACGCAAGATTAAAATGAGAGAATATAATACATTTAATAATTAGTAAAAGAAAAAATACAATAAATTTAACTAGTATGCAGAAATTTTTTACTAAAATATCCTAATAAACAGATATATTAGATCATTCCGAACCATCAACAGGGGCTAGAAATTTGAAACAAATACTTACTAAAGCAGAGTCATACCTGTGGTGCAACCAACCTTCGAGGAAGAAGTTCTTCATGCCGCCTAGCACAAAACTCCCAAGATAATATCTGTGCAAATAAACAAGAATTTCAGTGGGTACATACACACTACAGTAAAATTACATTTAAACATATCAACAATGTTTTGACCTTCAGATCTTGTGTGAATATAATACGAAGTTGACCCTCACGAACAACACGAAGCTGCTCATATACACTCTCTTGAACTGCTTTTGCATATTCTATCATCAACAAACCAGAAGTAAATCTGCATTCCCGTGGCAAGTCCAAAAACAGAAGTTCATCCATCACACCACTGCCAAATTTGATTTCATTAAGTCTAGGTAGTACTTCAAAAGTGGCCTCTGTTGAAAAGAATCCAGAATGTATATATTATTCAAATGACAAAAAATATCAAAACAGCATGCTGAGCATGTAAGTTTACATATACATTCTAAGAGTAAATTGAGTATCTGTAAAAGCTTATTTTCCAACATCAGTCACTTTACAGTTAATAAACTTGCTTATGCTTGATTGCATTTAGTACTTGTGGGTTCTGTCCAACTTTCAAATGAAGATCATCTTTTAGAATTTAGATTACTAGAAATTTGGAGTATCACATACAGTCACATCCTATTTTTTCTTTAGAATCAACTTGAATTAAATATAGGCCAAGATGATCCAGGTTATTTGAGATAAGATACTATTTTCCTTTAATCAGCTACAACTTATTAAATATTCTTCGCTATTGGTCAAACCTTCAACTTTTTTCTATAAAAAATAAAAGAAACACCCAACAGAACAACTGACACAGTATTTGCAACAAGGACTCAGGAAAAATAAATCTTACCCATTCAGTGAACTTTCTATATACCATAAGCTGACATTACAATGACTCAAAACAAAAAAATACTCTCTTCACAACCATTTTGTACAAAAATAAAGAAACACACCCAGAAAAGACAAAAGCAGAGCTAATCTAGCAAGCAGTACTCCATAGTAGAAAAAGATCCAAAGAGCAATTACATAACAGCAAAATACCAGGTTGTGCACAGCACCATACCTCCATACACAATCTTGAAGAGAAACTAAAAGCTTAAGAATAAAAGAAAATATAAATTCAGAGGCGTGTCCCCATTAGCTATACAGAGAGATTGACAAGTTTTGCATGTTTCCTTTTCATAGAATCATGGGTGAGGATCACTAGAAATACTGCCAGGGGTGGTAGGTCACACATAGCAAAGACAATGTGGATTTCACCCAGAAGAGAGAACTGTTGGAAAAACTGTCCAATTACATTTTTTAGTTCTGAAAAGGAACTTTGCCTAATGAAGCAATTTCCGGGGGGGGGGGGGGGAAGGAGTTTTTCAAAATGCCTCACAGTAGTGCCTCTAAGAGTTGCAAAGCTGCTATTTTGGCAGCAACAGCTGCAATTCAAAAACATTGCCATGAAAACTATAGGGCAGCCAATGGCCACTCTGCACCATTATGTTGCTAAAGCCTGCTATCACAGTAATAAATAAATAACAAGCAGAACTCAATAGTAAGATCTGAAATCTACAATGAAAAAAATTGGGATCTTAGTATAACTGGACAAAAAAATAGAATTCTTCTTGTCTTACCAAATCCCCTTCCAGATTTAGAACAGCATATGTCACACTGCCATGCATCCTGAACAAAGAAATATCTTGGTCAGATTAAACAGCGTAGAAGGTGGTACAGACATACAAAGAAAAAGTTTTGTAAGCAAATGCAATTATTTCAAACATAAACAGGCATTCTGATGGCCTATTGCTTAAAAGATGGAAAATTGATGAGCAAATGCAACCTGTTAACTTCTCAAATATAGGTCTGCTAATCAGCATATTTAAAGGAATCATCAATTCATGATACAATTATAGAGGGTTATATAATAGTGCAAAAACTGACCATAGCAGCTTGGGGGAAAACACCGAGTGCATGATGACCAACATTATCATACAATGACAAGCACCACCGTTTCTTTGCCCGAGGAGAGTAATATTCAGCCACAAATTTTCTCCAATAGGCAATACTATTATCCTGGGACCAATAGATAAATTGAATGCAGTTATAATTATTCTAAAACTGTAAAGTACCAAAAACAACAACCATGTGTTTAGACTAAACAAGTGCATGATAGGGTAAGACAAATGCTTGTGAGAACAGTGAAATAGCAATAGAAAAATATAGCAAATCTCAAATAGATTTCATCCAAAAAACCTCAACAAGAACTAAAAGAATGTGAGAGACAAGTTTACCATGTTTAGCAACAGAAAATGAAAAGAACTCACATTTGGTCGCTGCCTTTGATGATAGAGGTATTGCATCAGTCGACGGGCACAGACACCACTGTCAAATGGGCGCTTTCCACCAGATAACGGCTGCATTACTTGTTGCTGTAACTGCTGCCTCAATTGCATTTGTTGTTGTTGCTGTTGATGATGATGCTGCTGCTGCTGCTGCATGTGTGCTCGCTGTAACTGTGGCATTGATTGAAAGATTTGTTGTTGTTGCCTTAGTCTCTGTTGCTGCTGCTGAAACAAAGCCTGCAATTGTGGATTTCGACCCTGTAATTGCATGGGGTCTTGTCTCTGAAGAAGTTGATGTATTACCTGCTGTTTCACTATATCTTCCTGCTTGATATCCAGACGAGGTTTCTTCTGCAGTTGGGATAAATTATTTGCATCTTGAATGTAAGATCCTGGTACTCTTGCACCCATTGGGAGCGGAGCTGGGCCAGTTTGGGATGGAAGCAAAGATGTAGCACTCGTAGCACCTTGAGGCAGCTGCTGATTCTGCTGCAATTGTTGAACATTGTGGTCGTGATGAGAACTCTGCTGTGCTACAGAAGAACCATCCAGAACCGATGACCCAGAAATACTAATATTATTTGATGAAAACGACATTGGTGAGGCAGGTAATCGTAAGTAAGAATCTGTGTTAAAGCTTGCACTTCTCTGCAAATGGGGGCCTCCAGAAAGTGCAGAATTAGCATCTGTGACTAAAGAACTAGCTCCAACACTTGGAGCTGTGTTTGTCACACTGTTTAAAACTGCATTATTCATATCCCCAGAAACCGGACCCAGATTTGAACGGCCAGTTCCAGGAATCGTGTTAGATGAGTTACCGAAAGATGAGCTTAAATGAGAATTAACTACATTCTGTGATTGCCCATCTCCTTGAAAAAATATTCCAGAACTTGATGATGATCGAGTTAAGCCTCCAGCCACCCGAGAAGGTGCCATTGAGGGCACCACCCCTTGGTGACTGGAGTCTATATAGCTCTCCAGAGCCAGCCTGACTTGTACTTAGCCTAATGAGAATGTTCCATCAAAGCCAAAAGTACAACCTAGACACATGAAACAATATAAAATGCTCTTGAAAGTTGAAAATTTGTCAAGTCTATGCAGCAATTTGATTGGGTATAACTATTCACCTGATTTTACTTCTTCCTCTTCTTAAACCCCCAAATTCAATCAATGAATAAAACTTTTGCCAAATCTACAAATTCCTTCCCAATGGCCCCACTATCTCTTCGTTCGTCTGTACTCTGAACAGTTTCAGACATAGATCTACGATGGAAAAAGTAAAAAGGAAACAAATTAGCATAGTGAAAACACTAGATAAAACTAATACAACAGCATAAACAAACAAACAAACACTGATCAAGAACCATACACAATCAAAACCACTGCTGCAAATTGAACCCACTAATTTCAGCCAAGAAACCCTAAATCTTTCCATATTGGAAGCACAACCGCTCCCATACTAGCATTTGCAGAAAAGCCCCTTCAAAACCTGAGCTTTCACACATTAAAATTCCCAAAACCCGAATCAAATTGCGGAAGCGCATGAGCACACAAACAAACTAACGTACAGAAAAAGCCCCAATTCAGCACCCAAATTCAGAAGCCACACATAAAGGTGCAAAAGAACCCAAAACCCGAAACAGACTCCAATCGAAAACTAACGATACTCCAATTGTCAGTTCAAAAACACTAGCTAGAATAAGGGGGAAAAAATGCAAACTCGAAAGCAAATTTAACACTGCAAAACTTGCAAAACAAGAAGATCAAGAGCAACAAACATTTAAATAAACAAAAAGATCCTAAAAGAATCGAAGAAAACTTAAAAGTTGTAGGTATATGCATAGCTTCAGAGATCGACGGCTAGCAATTAAAATTGAAGGCCCAATGAATAATGAGAAGCAGAGGAAGCTACTCACAATAGAAACGGCAAGCTGAAAAAAGCGAAACGTCCCTTTTCTAAGCTGAATTAGGAAACAGGAATCGCAGTAAACAAAGAGAGAGAAAGTTTCAGAGATTTGTAGAGAGAGAAACAGTTATAGAGACGACTCCTTTTATACCTCGCGGGAATGGCACTGTGCGAGTGACCGACTGTGCCGGTCGCTATCCATTCTTTACCGGCCCTACCCGGTAAACTATAGGGCACGTGTCACAAGCGAGATGGCGGAGCTTAGTCGGTGGGTGATTTGGGCTTACGTGGCAATATCTCACTGGCTCCGTAGTAGGTTGCTTATGATAGATTTCGAAGAGTGGGGTATCCAGTAATTCTTCGTGGGTAATTATCCAGTACGATGGTGAAGATATAGAATCGGGTATGGGCTCGTTTTGCGAGGGCAGATAAGGTATTTTATAGGATTTTGGCTGTGCCGTACATGTCTGATTGACACGTGTATGATCTGATTGGCGAGTTGGAAAAGGGTGTATTTGTTTTATTGTGGGGATGGGTGTGATTTAGTCTTGGGATTTTTACTATAAGAGGTTAACGGATAGAGACAGAGAGTCAGATTACCACGTGTGACTAACACGGACAATAGAAACAAGGCCTCGTGTGCCGCAGTGCGCATTAGATAATTTAGGTTCTCTTTTAAAAAAACCATTAATTATATTGTTATTTTAATTTCGCATGCTTTGAACCACTAATATTTTATTCTAAGTGTGCTGCAAGAAAGGGATAGTTTGAGGGGGGGAAGCCCTCAATTTTAAGTGTTGCTATTTATATAAATGATGATTACTTTTTTTATTAGTTGCTTTTGAATTTTAAGATTTGAGTTTGTTTATTGGTATTTTTTTATTAAATTCATATTATTTTAGTATATTTTACTCGTAATTATAAAATTTAATTAAAATAAATTTAAAATTTTATTATTAAAAATAATTTTTTGTCCTTTAATATTTAAATTATGCCTTCTACGTGCTGTTAATTAGTTTATATAAAAAAAAATCACCTTTTCTTTTACTACATGTTTTTTGAAATTTAAGATTTGAGCCTGTTTATGGGAATTCTCGTAAGATTTTTCAATGGAAAATGTTTTACAAAATATAATAATTGGAGAAAATTTAAAAATATTAAAAATTATTTAAAGATTTTAATTTAATTTTATTATAATATCATTATGAAAAAATATTATTATATTTAAATTAAATTTTAAATATTTAATAAAATATTATCAAAATCATTTTTTTAATGTTAAATTTTTTGCACAAAATAAGTAATCTAGAGAAAAACAAACAAATGATGAAATAATTAGTAAATTAACTTTAAATCCAAAAAATTCAAAATTACTTTACAAAAAAAATCTCTATCTAGTACTTCAATGTATTAAATACAAAATTTCATTCTTGAAGTAAAATATTTTTAGAAGTTATTCTAATTCTTATCTCATAGTTTTTTTTACATTAAGCATTTTCTTTATTGTTTTCCTTTACAAATATTATTTTTACTTTTAATTTTAATTTTAAAGTTAATCCAATTTAAATTTTAAATGTTAATGACATATATTAAATTAAGGATGTCTTTCTTTTTTTAGGTAAATTTAATTTTAAATTTATTATAATATTAATCAATCTTAATTTGAATTTGATTTTAAAATTTTAAATTTTAACACATCATATTAATAAGACAGATAAAAAACTCAATACTATTTAAAATTTTCAATATTTTTTTATTTTAGTTCTAGATTTTAAAAATCTTATCTCTTTAACTTAATTATATTTGATATAGTAGAGTGATATTTATTAATTCTAGAAATACTTGCTCTTTTAAATTTTTAAAATTTATTAAATTTAAGAAAATTGCGTAATATACCTATAATTTTTTATTTTAAGAAAAACCTTAATTTATTAATCCCGATATAATACAAGAGAATTTTACCAATATTCTTATAACAAGTTATCAAAAGCTATTTCTCAAAATAATTAAAAATGAGAAATAAAATCAAAGACATCCTTGGCTATTCTATAAGAGCCTAGTCAATTAAGGACTTGTGGGTGTTAAGTTCGGTTCTCAAGCTTTTTCCTTTTATTATTTTGTAGTATAAGTTTGAGAATTGAGACCCCATAAACCACTCATTAAAGTATCGTTGTTGGGGGACAACTTTTTCTAAGGAATTCCTTCAACGCCTTTGAACAAGTTGAGTGGCCTAGTAAGATAAAGTCATTTAGGTTTGGCCAGATGAGGCAAGTCAAAGGTGCCTACCCAAAAATTTAAACCATTCAAAATATTTGTTCTCCTCTTTCTCTCTACAAAAATTTAAACCAAGCATTGGGTTTAGCCTAGGTAGGGTCACTTTAACAGTGCCATGGACAATTTCTCTTCTGAGATATAAAAGTACAATACAGTCTTCTTTGCCTCATGCTCTGTGCTCTTTACCAATCTTGAGCCTATGGCACTGACATGGCTTCCAATCACATACTAAAACTCCACCTGTTTTAAAAGTTGTATTTTGTATCTTATAGCTTCACATGTGTATAGAACCATCATCTAAGAAGACCCAAGGTTTTGTTTTTTTTTTGTGTTTTACTTCTTTTAAATGCACATCTATGACTTTCGAATACTACTTTAGGTGCAGAGTATTTCTAACTTCAGCTCACGCTCAAATTGAGTGTATTGTAGTTTTACATGTAAAAAGATTCACTTCAGCTGTTATACTTTAATTTAAGTATTTATAAAAGTATAATAAATTATTTTTTACTAAAAGTTAATAATATTTAAACTCAGTATTAAAAGCTGAAGTTATAAAAAAAAAAATTAAAATGTGAAAGATTTAACCCACGTAGAACTCAAAAAATAGTGTGTTAAATTGAAGTTGTTAAATTATTGCAAATACCTCGAGTGGACCGATCCAGGGGAGGGTAAACTTCGGCTCCGCCCCCTTCTTCAATATTTATTTTTTTTAAAAAAATATAGATGTAGACTATTTTTCTTATAAAAATAAATAAATATGTAGTCATGCAATTTATTAATATAATTATTGATGTTATCGTTTAAATTTTTTTTTTATCCGTCTTATGTCATGCGACTTCAGAGAATAAATAAAGCTCACCATTCGTCTTTAAAACGATGGCTGCATAATGCATCAATTTTTATCAACTTATTCCATTAGTCAAATATAGCTTACGTTTCTCCTGGTCACAAATCTGATACTGTATTTGTCTTTTAAAAGAATTAAGATATGCATTCTTTGAATTTTGAGTTATATTCCCTCACTTTCTGTTTGATTTTTTCTCTTTGCTGCATTTAAACTAAAAAAATGCCATCATGAGATCTGAATTCTAATTGGGTATACAAAGCAATCTTAAAAAAAAAATCATCAAATCACAGTTGAGGTGTTAAATGATATGATTGAATAATTGGGTAGCAAGAAAGCAATTTGGGAGGAGGATCTGTTCTCTTTCCTTCATTCTTTTCAAACCTTCTCTATGATGCTATTCAACAGGGTGATGTGGAAGGGCCCTTCAGTTTAACCAAGTAATTGGCAAATAGATTGGAGGTACACTATTTTCATATAAACTTCTCCAATCCATATACCAAATTCTGCAAGGTTGATAAAATGTCAATGAAAAAAAAAACTGAAGCAGATGAAGTTGAACGATACAAAGAAACTAATAGCTGAGACTTCATTTGGTTGGCTACCTTGAGGCGAACTACTTTTCTGATGGCTAATAGCAAGCCTGGCATGAGACATTGCACATCTGTGATATCATGCTTGATAGAGTACACCTGCAGCAATTGACCAGATGATGAGAATTTGAGAAGTTAATAATTGGAATCAAAATAATTCACACAAGAGAGGACATCACCTCTCCTGGACCTGAAAAGTGAACTGTTGTACTGGAAGGAAGTCCTGGAAGGACCAAGCTGTGAACACGAATTCCATCTCCTAGAACTTGACCCCTTGCCTTGTGTGACAAATAAATGTAATTAGATATCTCACTAGGCATAAAGGGTAAACATATTTGTATTTGTTTTTGTAAGACTTTGTGTTACAAACTTTAGGTGTTTTATCCTTACCAAGACATCGGTTGAAGGATCTTCTTTGTTATAGATTTGACCAAGGTTAGAAAGATTGTTGGCAATTTGGTTTGCATCTGCCGATGGAAGATCCTGTTGACCAAGGCCAATTCACAATGTTATCTTATGTACCTTTTGACTGGTAATGATGTGATGAAAGTGAATGTGGATATAATGAGAGATGGGAATCAATTCAGCTATATTACATCCCGGTAACTTTCACAATCTTATCCTTTTTTATGATTTATTTTGGTTAATGGAAAACATACACAAGGACAAATAAAAATCTGATATACCCAAGATTGGAAAACATAAAAAGAAAGAGAACTTGCCACTTGCGGTGAAATTTACAAGGAAGAATTATTAGGGAAAAAAATCAGAGATATAAACACAATAAGGAAGGTTTTCACCAATATTGACCAGCGAGACGGATAAGAATAAAAATGGAATATCCTCATAGATACGATTTCAATGTGTGGTACTTGTACACATGATGCTCCTTATCAGAGACAAGTTGAATTATGATTATTTAAGCATGCAACATGTTTATGTAGGGGTCATAAAGTGGGCTTGGGCCATGTACTCTCTTGAGGTGTCTTTTTGTGGATGGACTTGTCTAGGCCCCCATAGTTCGCATTTGATACCTTAATGATAATTACATTAAACATATCAATTAGGTTGTATATTTGATTTCTAAACATTTTATCTTCAACACGTTTTTTCATAACTACCCTTCGACATGCTTCAATTCACCCACATATATAAAAGAAGATGCAAAAATTATAAACATAAAAATGAATTATTACATTTGCATCAGCCCTGGATTCCACGATTTCGACGTTGCTGTAATGGAAAGAAGCTGAAATCGCAGCTTGCTGCAATAATATTGATCCTATGGAAAGGGTTGGTGCAATCAGGACACCCTGATATGCGACAAAAGAACAAATGGCATATTAACATTTATAATCTAATGAAGTTACAATCTTCGCTATTCAAATATGGACTATGATGTGAAGTAACTAAATAGACCATAAAATAGAAACTAGAACAGAAATAATTTCAAGTAAAAGTTGATATGTTCTTATATGTCTCACCCCGTGCTCACCATGCTGGCCTTCTCGCAGAATGCAGATAATGCAGCTACAGTGTCTAATTTGATTCGGGCCACGTAAACTACGCTTTTCATTCCAAACGCTGTTGCCTGATGAAAAATGAATCGATGTTTAGCATTTAACATAAGTGGAAATAGTATCAAAATATGAAGGCGAATGCCATATCTATAATTCAGAGGTTAGTCTTCCATCTTGTCTTACAGTCCAAGCTAGCACTTGAGATTGTTTTCTTTTGCTAAGAATAATTGCTCAAATTAAAATACTAATCTATTACTGATTTAATGGACGAAAGATACACAAGTATCTGAACATAAATGGCATTGCTGATGTAACTACATCATAGTAATGCTACCTATTTCCCTCTGAAACTTATCTTGCTGTAAAAGAATTGAGCTGAAAAATTGCTGAAAGTAGTATTTACCTTAGCCTTACCCAAGAACCGTTTAATTCACAATTTACAAAATAATTATCCAACTAATTATGCTTCTAGCAGAAGTCAAACCTGTTTTACGTTGTCATACACCGAGGAAGGGTCAGTGAAATCAACTACAACTCCCATTGCCTTGGACTGCAAATTGCGATTCAAAACGTCATTCAAGGCACAACAGATTAAAGAGGCAATTTAATAATAAAACCAAGTTTATTATTGCTTCACATTACCTGAGATATAGAGCCCAAAACCATAGTAAGGTCATTTATTATGGGTATTTCAAGTGGCTCTTCCATGCCACAAACCTAGAACAATTGAAAAAGGAATTAAAATAAAAAATATTAATATATTTTTATCATCATTTTAATACAATTTTTCATTGTGGTGTGTTTGGTTTCTTATCACACAAATTCACATGCATCTAATTGTAAAAATAATAACTAGTTGTTTCGTGAAAATTGTTAGTTAGGCTCTTCCAAACAAAAACCAAACACAATACCACACAAATTCACATGCATCTAATTGAAGAGTTGTTCTGGCTAATGACAACAAAAGCAAAAACCTTTCCAATATCTTCCCCAACATGACAAGTATCCACTGCTCCGGCTACCTCCATTCCTCTGGCCTTCGTTACTGCCGCTACTGCTGCCCTTCCTATATCCTTGGCTGCTCCATTAATCACAACCTGTTCCACAAAAGGGTTGTTGAAATTAAAGCACTTTATAGTATTTGTGCATTGACTCAAAGAGTTGAATTTCGAAACTTTATACCTTTATATTACTTGGTGTGGGCTGCGCTGAGCAAGAAATGAAACTCTTGCTTTTGACATTATGACTGAACAAGTTGGTGGAATGAAACTGGCAACTTAAGGAGGCCATGGCTGTTCAAGAGTAAATTCAGCCTCTGCCCAAAAGAAGATAAGCCTATGTATATGGTGCCATATGGTAATTTTCTTATGTGAACAGACCATACAGTATAAGCATGGTTATGTTTTGATAGGATAAGGTATTTGGGTTTTTGGTAGCCCTTAATTGGAGAGGATCCTGTGACTGAATCCCGACAACATGTGTCTGAAATGCCTTGAAGCAAATGCAAAGCGGGGCCCACTTATGACCACAAGGGTAATCAAAACGTGCATGTCCCCTGCTACTTCTACAAAACGTGACATGAGTAATCAAAATCCAAATGTCATACATTAACATACTAGACTTTACCTTCAAAAATGAAAAACCACACAAATCTGCTCTCTCTCTCTCTCGTTTCATTGTTAACAATTCAGTCTCCTAATAAATTGTTTTTTCGCTACTCTCCTGAAGTTTAAGTTAAAATTTAAAAAAAAATGTTAAATTTCGTTAACTTCAATGTTGCAAGGTTGTGTGGCTTAACATAATCAGAAAGTAAAACTGTTGTGCTGCTGCTGCTTAGTGTTCTCCAATGGGTTTTCTGGGTGTAGCTAGATGGGATCGGAGTTTCCTCATGTTACATGATCCTCATGTCATGTGTTTTGCATTTTTGCTAATGTTTTGCTTAAACAAAAATACAGTCACATGAAAGTTATGTTCTCGTCAAAAAATGAGGAAATACCAATCCAGCTAGATAGCTGTCAATTCATGTATCACTGAGTCAAAAAAATATTTTTAATAACATCTTAAAAATAACGTCTTTTCACTGTAATAAGATTTAATTTTGATATAATGTTAATATAAAAAATATGTCATCAACCATTTAGAGCATATATTAAATATTTTTAATTAAATAAATAGTATTTCTTAGAAAGTCGTTAAAAAGAGGATAATTTTTAATAACGCTTTTTAGAAAGGAAAAAAAACCATTTAAAAAGAAATTTTAAGAATGATAAAAGTTTTCTAAAAAACTGTTATTATAATATCTACTTTTTATTCTCGTTATTTTTAAACATCGTGTATATTTGAAGTCCACAAAAAGTCTTAATCTTGATTATATTAAAAACCTATCATGAATATAAGAAAACATTACTCATCTATTTCATGTTATTGAATTTTAGTATTTGGTTGTGACAATACATGTTACCTTCAAAGTGGCGGTGCCAAATTTTTATTTTTAATTTAATGGAGTGGGTGTTGGTGGACAACGTGTTTAATGTCCTGAGCAAGGGCGATGTTATTGAGAAAGTCAATCCTCCACATCGCATAATCCATTCAAAACGAAGGATTTAAGACTGAAAGCAGTAACGAATCGTAAAGTGACATACACCAATGCACCCTCCAAATCAAATGAGACCACTTCCTGTATTACATCATACTGACATGATTAAAACCTTGTATATTTTATATGCAGACTATAAAGTAACCGCGTATGCAAGCTAAACTTTTTCCACATGAATTAGCGTGTTTAATCCCATTCTATTTGCTTCGTAATCGAGTTAAATTTCAAAAGTCAACAACCTGTAAAGTGTAAATGTCTTGTCTTCATGTCTTGTGAGAGCCTTTTTAAATTATTCTGATTCTGAATTAGGACAACCTTTCCCTCATACTAAATTTTACAAATGAAAAATTGAAAAAAATAATACAATAAAAATAATTGATGTAGGGGGGGGGGGGGGTTAAGAACACATTATCAGTCTTATGATATTTATATTATTTCAAACACTTAATCAGACTTTTACAAGTTTAAATTTACAGAAATAAATAAATATTCTCTTAAAAAAGTTTAAATGAAAATTGTTCAAGAGATGTGTTTATTATTAGCATATGTTAAATACGTATGTGTTTAAATTTGGTGCGATTTCAAACCTTTTTTTTTCTGCAGAACTTTTCGTTTGATTTTGAATTTCGATAAATAATAATGTTGTTCTTAACCAACCCTATTAACCTAACACGAATATTTGTATCAAAACCCGTATGACAAATGAAATTTAAATTTATTAAATATCAAACTCAATACAACGTTTTTCAAAAGTTATTTTGTCATTGAGAGGAATCAAAATTTAATATTTTCCTCAGTTACAAAAAGAATATTATTTTAAAATAATGAGGTGCTTTCTGGAAGATTAAGAGTTGTATTATACTGAATTACATGTATGCTTATGATAAATTCTGAAACTATTAAAATCTAAATAATTTATATTTTTAATAACGCATATAATTTATTTATTTTTTATCTTTTAGAATACATGAGCTTGTTTTGTAAGAGTTAAATATCTTCCCCGTAGATCTATTTATTATCATTAGATGTGCCTCATAATTATTATAGAAAAATTTGTCGTTTATATGTCCATACTATAATAATATCAATTAATAAATGGGGAAATGCATTTTAAATTCAAACTTCATATCTTGTTAACTCAGGATTAGGTGAGATTAAAGAAGGGATGGACTATCCCTTGCAACTTTTAAGCAAAAGATTGGTGCATAAATATGTATCATTCTTAATTTTTTTATAGTTCTGCTGGTTGCTGAAAGATATATCATGTTATAGCTAGGCGTCAATATCTCGCTCTTAATATGCCTTTTCTTTTGGCAAATGGGAAGTGTGTTTACTTGATGCATTTATTTTGTATGTGGTAATGCCAATTGCGTATTCACAATGGCAAGCCTTGTAAACCTTTACCTTTTCTCTGAAGCATCTCAACCATGCAATTGTATGCATATATAGTGCTCTATCCTTTTCAATGCAGCTGGGTTTTGGTTATGTATCGACATGTTGAGAAATTTATCTCTAGCAACTAGTTGTGATGTAAATGGGAATTTCCATGTTTAACTGAAACGTGCATATAACTTGTAATCATCTTTAATTTTGTAGCATCTGAAAAATGACAAGGTGATTCGAGATGCTATGGGTTGAAAGTTTTTCAATTATACACATTCATCAGTTTCTGCAGCACAAAGCAAGGAATTGTCCACTATTTGAAACCACACAGTCTCTTTTCTTTCTTTCTTTTTTAAGAAAGGCGAGACTGTTATTTTGGTATTTTCTTATTAATTTCAGTGTATGTTTAATTTAATTATAAATAAATTATTCTATTTTATTTAATTTGTTGTGCTTTTATAACACGCATTGTTAAAAATTTTTACGTCAACTACGAATGGTGTACATAATATTTGTTATAAATTTTTAACAAATTTTTTTCTGACTTAACTTTAATTTGAAGATGGAATAAATTTTATTTTTTAAAATATGATATTAAAACTTTTGCAGCTTAAAGATCATTTATAAATGTTCAGTTTAAAATATGTTAAAATATCTCACTTGATTAAGAATAAAAACAAGGTATTCTTTATAAGATTTATTACAGGATTAATGATAAAAAAATGTAAAAAAAAATTAATAAGTTTCTTAAATTTTGTTTTTACATTTATCTTAAAGATTAAAAGTGAAACACCAAATTTTGAGATTAATTTTTATTATAATGATACAAACTGTTAGCACATGATTTCATATTCACCCAGTAGTATATTTTAAGGGGGCTTAATGGTCAAAGTCTGCTCAAGATCAGGATAAATGTCTTGTGATCGATACTGCAGTACACATTAATAATGGTCGAGAAACACTGCAAGGGAACAAACTTCCAAGCTTTATATACTGTTGTGAAACATAAAAGATGTTGAGCCACCAACACTAGTCCAGAGGATTACCTTCCAACATGCACATATATACTCAACACTGCACTATGCAGAGTTCTAGTAATCCCCTCATTTATATTCTGGTTTTCTTTTTGACCCCACCACACCCCATATATATATATATATATATAGAATCTCACATGCTTATCACGTATAAATTTTTATTTATAAGGATCAACCAATTGTTCATACAAGAAGTTACTAGACATATATATAAAAGTATAATTTGTGTTTAACTTTTTCCCCGACTCCATATTGCTGTTTTGTTACAAAAAAACACGAGTGACCTAAATTCATATACTAAACTATTAAACTTTGATCACTGGAATCTGAAAAATGGAAAAACATGGGACTTGGCTTGTAAGATTAGTCTTGCTAGTAGTGTGTGTTTGGAGATAACTGATGTTAGGGGAGGTGGGGACTACACTTTAATCTTGAAATATGTTTTACATAAATGTACATTTGCACATTATCATTAAAAAAGTATGGAATGCTATGTTTTAAGAAATTGAAAAGCAGAAATAAAAATAAAGACACAGAGTATTTGTCTATTTGTCATTAGGGCCCTGCCCGTATAATTGAGTCCTAGCATAATACTAGTCGAAATCTAGAGTCCCCAGTTTCCTCAAAAAAGAAGAAATGTAGTTTCTTTCTTGCTCATAATTTTCAGTAGTCGTACACTTGGAGGTCACTTTCTAGTTTTCATTCTCATCGTACGATGGCCAATTTTTTCATGCTGACAATCACCTAAAGCATTAATAAGGTTTAAGTATTGGATGACAAACCTAGTTCAAATTAGCACTTTAGTTAATAGAATCCTTGAAAAGTGAAGTCATAAAAAAGACAGATACCTAATTGCCTGTAGAGGAATGGATAAGAAATGACAATACTTGAATAGAATGATATTATTAATGGGTATGTGCAATATGAAAATAATAATAATGATGGTTTATTAATTTCAGTCCTAACTTAAGGCTGAATTTAAATATTTATAAATAAAAAAAATTTATAAAAAAATATATAATTATTTTATTAAAGTTATAAAAATATAATAAATACTTCTTTTTTTAATAAAATTTTATTATTATTAACTATTTATCCACAGCTCTTAAGGTTAACAAAATTTTAATAATAATAATGGGCAACTTTTTTTTAATGTAGTTAATTAATTATAATTACAGTATAAGATTATGTGATTCTTTTAATAATGTAATTAAATAATGTTTGAGGGTATCACTTTTGTTAGAAGATGTCACATATTTTATGGTTAGTAAGACGCTAATATTGTTTATATAGGGACTTACATTAATTCTTACCAATATCTTATTGATAAATTCCTTATAAAAAAAATCTTATTAATAAATTATATCTATATATTAAAATGAAACTCATAACCTGAGTCAGTGTTGTTTAATTTTTTACTAAATGAGAAAAACTATCGGAATATAGGCTGCTATTTCTGCTTATGTTAACTAATCTATTTTACTCAAAAGCTAACTATTAATATCCGAAAAATAATCTATGAACGACCTCTTCGCAGCCCTAATCACATACTAATCCTAAAAAAATATTACATATACAGAAAAAATTGATTACTAGATCCTTTTTTTTTCATTATTATGCCATTTAAAGAGTGACTTGTAAATATTTAAGTATACAAATATCGCTATAGATAAGCTTGAGAAAACATATTATTTTTCAAATATACACAAACTTTGGGTGTAACTGATAAAATTTATCGAGAATAAACATATTATTTTGTAAGAAACTTGAGAAATAATTAATATATTTTTAAGAATTTTATTCTTAATGATTTTCATTCAAAGTATTTTAATTAAAAATAAAAATTCCTCATACCAAATGTTCTTATATAAGATGTTGACTTCAGGTTTTGTAAATAAAAAATACTAAACAAATGATTTTCTTAAATAAACCCACACAATTTAATTGACTTTTAAATAGTGTCGGATAAAATTGATACCAAGTTAAAAAAAATTACAAGATAAATTCATGCCATGTTAAATACTTAAATTTGTTTATATATAAATTTTTAATGACAACTATAGGTTAAAAAAAGAAAGGTAAAATTGAAGATACGCATGACGTAATGAAGCAATACGGTGAGCTGAAGCGAAGAGTGGAGGGATTAAACTTGAATCATAAATTGGAACCTCATCAAATAACTGTCATTAACTCGATACGTGCACCTTCAACCATAATTAACACACACGTGTCCTCCACAGTATCTTTAACCTAAACCACGACGCACCAAAACACATGTTCATTCTCCGACACGCCCAAATTTCCACTTCTAACCATTTCAGAAATAAAATGCTTTACCTTTGGCGGCTTTCGTTGTTCCCTTTCTGGCCCTACCTCTTTTCTTCTCCTATTTTTCTTTTTCTTTTTCAAATTTGGCAATTAAAAAAAAAAGATAACAAACAAAACAATTCATCTAGTTTATTCATAAGGTGAGGTGATATTTATGGTCAATTATTAAAATGGTTGATTTTATATTTAACGATTACTAGAATGATGGTATAGTATTAGTATTAGTAATATATATCAAAATCAAAGTCACAGGCTGCTAGCATGGTTAGCTGGCCACTCGTTTTTATATTCATTTTGATTTTCTTCAACTTTCTCTTTCTTCTTCACCGATTCCTCCAGAACTGCAAGAGACAGAGAGAGAAAATCAATTCTTCATAATTGGAATTGTTCTCTCTTTAGATGTTGACTTCACATTGATTTTTACCCCCTCCCCCTCTTCACATTACTCTGTCTCAGATTACGCCAGAAAATTCTCACACCCATCCACATTCCGCTGCAAAGATCAGTGCTTTCTGCTTTTGCAGGATCATCTTCTGTTATTTTAACTTTCCATCATCTGGGTGACAGTTTCTTTTGCTTTCAAAATTGAAAACTTTTTCCGGCTCCGGTCACCGGCCGGGGATCTTTTCTGAGCTGCCGTGAAGACTAAGATTTGACGGGGTTGTTGGGTTGGGGTTTTTCTTCAGCGAAACGCGATTAATTCTTCTTAAAAAAAAAAGAAGAAAGAGAAAAGTTGAAGTTTCTAAGTTTCTCTCTCTTGAAGCTTAAAAAAGCTGTATTTGCTTTTGTTTTTCCTCTGTTTGTGTGTGTGGGGGGATTGGAATGCCGGGGTCTATAAGAGGGGGCTGAGATTTCTGTGACAGAATCAGAGATCTAAGGCTGTGTTTGGTTTTGGATTGACGCAAAGGCAACTTATTTGTGAAAGAGAAAGATGATGAAGATGAGGAACATGACAAACGAGGTTTCCACTATGAATGGAAACTCAGGTTCAATGGAGTGGGAGATGAGGCCAGGTGGAATGCTGGTTCAGCGTCGAACCGCTGAATCGGAGCGGAACTCGGTGCCGCCACCGACAATTAGAGTTCGGGTTAAGTACGGGTCAACCTACCATGAAGTCAACATTAGTTCTCAAGCTACATTTGGTAATAAAATAACTCTTTCTTTCTTTCCTTTTTCCTGTTTTAATATTTTAAAATTACTTTTCCTTTTTGGTTTTGATTGCTTTGTGGTTGTTACAGGGGAATTGAAGAAAATGCTTTCTGGGCCAACTGGGTTGCACCACCAAGACCAAAAGCTATTTTATAAAGACAAGGAGAGGGATTCCAAGGCGTTTCTTGACATGGTTGGTGTCAAAGACAAATCCAAGATGGTGCTCATGGAGGATCCTATTAGCCAAGAAAAAAGGTACTTGGAAATCAGGAAGAATGCAAAGATGGAGAGAGCTGCTAAATCTATATCAGAAATTAGCTTGGAAGTAGATAGGCTTGCTGGGCAGGTACCATTTTTTATTTTTATTTTTTTAAAATTTTCTTATACTTGAATTTTGAATAACATGGCGTTGTTTGAAATGGATTTGTTGGGTGAATTAGTGCTTATCGATAATTGGAATTGGTTAGGTGTCTGCTCTTGAATCAATAATTAGTAAAGGTGGGAAGGTTACGGAAACGGATGTGCTTAGTTTGATTGAGTTGTTGATGAATCAGCTGCTTAAATTGGATGGTATAATGGCTGATGGGGATGTTAAATTGCAGAGAAAAATGCAGGTAAAACCCTCCCCCATTTTTTCTGTCGTTGCATTTTCTCAATTGAGCATTAGATTCTGATGGTAATGAACCGTTTTGAAGGTTAAAAGAGTTCAAAAGTATGTTGAAACTCTGGACATGTTGAAAATTAAGAATTCAATGGCTGGTACTAATGGAGGTCATGCCTCAAGAAAGCCTCAACAAAAGCATTTACATGGGAAGAGATTGGCACCGATTGAAGAGCAACCAGAAAGTCTGTTAAATGGGCATCATAGCTTAGCACCAAATCAGGAGAAGCAGGAGCAACAACAATCTAGGAATTCTACCTCAGAAGTAGTAGTTACCACAAAATGGGAGACATTTGATACTCTACCCCCGTTAATTCCAATCACTTCCACATCCTCGTCCAGCTCAATCACCAATAATTCAGTTCATCCCAAGTTCAATTGGGAATTCTTCGACTAAATAGTATACCACGTGTTTGTAATTGTGTGGATGTTATTTGGGTGTGTCTTCCACCTGGAGTGTTACCATATGTTATACATTCTTTTGTGTATTTAGATTTGTTTAGCCCCTTTTGTATGTTATTTACTTCACTAGAAATAAACGAGGTTGCCATGACAGTGATTATCATCATAAAACAATTTCCTTTTTTTGTGCTTCTGGTCTCTTACTCCCCTTCTCACCCCCGTATTGTCTCATCTCAAGGCGTGCTTAGAATTTATTTTTAACTAATTGCTTTATCTCTCTCTTCAATCCTCTAATTTTAGGTACATAAGCAGCGTTTGATGAAAAATAAATCTTTTTGGTACCTTACTTCTCGTGGGAGCTACAAGCTGACAAAAAGAATGGCATCTATTAAAGTGCTCTCTTTCTTATACTGAAATAACTAAAACATTTTGATATGCACACATTAAAATTAAGTGTCATTATGAATGAATGAAGTGGGATAAATTAAAATAGAAGATTTAAAAAAATATATAAACGTAGATGATAATTTGAAGGTAATATTGTCAAACAAAATACCGAATCTGCCCATTGACAAGAAGACGAGTCTAAGAGTGGTTAAGAGCATAGAAGATGAAATGATAATTGTGGATTAGTTTCATTACTAATTATGAACCGGTAGGTTTGGTAATTTTGCTGTATTTCCACAGGCAATTCCGGATTTAGAAACATTCCTACTGGGGCCTCAAGCAAAGGCTTTTAAAGGCTATGATACCTATTACCTTCCGCTAAGAAGCTCTTTAATGCAAACGCGTTATAATAATGCACGTAATGATTTGGTAGTAGCAGATAATAAATTATGTCTCAACAATCATACCAAATCAACATTGCTTCTATGAAATCGAAGGCAATGAACAATAGCGGAAGAAAGCAAAATACTCAGTCAAGAATGCCATAATTTGCACAAATAAATATGATTAAAATTGTGACAAAGTACAACAGCCTCATAACTTTGTTTAGCATCAGTGCGCTAACCATTCATGTTTGTTTTATTTTGTCTTATGGTTTTCGAGATTAGTTATGTGACTGCATGAATTTAATGCATACTAATTTATGCAATTATAGCTTAATAGGACTAACCTTTTTTCAGATCATAAATCAATTATGTAATAGGTTATGAGAACAAAAGTCATGGAGCTCCCTGTTACATGCCTTACCTTCTTTTTACGGCAAAATATTAAATCAAACTATAAAGTTATAAAATGGTACCTGCACACTCGCTTGAAATTAAGTACTTTTATGTCCCCGCGAGCTAAATTGAATTATGTAAAAACAATTTCACATGCATCAAATTTTTTACAATTAATTATTTCAAAAACCTTATTAAAGCTTGAAGTCAAAACTTTTCGGTTTACCTGTTATACAGAGAAATTCTTATACTCGGGTACATGGGCGAATACTAAGTCTTATCAACATCAACATTGAGTTTCTTAGTACACGAGGAAAGCAGAGAGAGGGAGGTTCAAAAGTATCTTGTCAATTCCTATTCTATACACTCCATGATTAAAAGAAGTGCATTTTTAAAGGAACACTTCACGCTGACAATTAGTTACTTTTATTTCACGCGGTACTCAATATATGGGGCAGGGGGGAGTCTACTACATAATCTCGTTTAAGTTAGGATAAGGGTACATAAAAAAGATTAATATATCATATATATTTTTAATTTTATGAAGAATTCGAGATTTAAAGTTTTAAAAGTTATAGAAGGTATCGATTTCATTAAAAAATTGATTATATAAACTGCAATCAGTAAAGAAATATATAAGCTTATTGCGTCCCTTTATGACATACTATAACAACCTTCAGCAGATTTACAATCAATTTATCTTTCCCGTTTGGTCGGTCACCACCCAAGTACCAAACAACCACGATATTGCAATCACATTAGAATCTTCAAGGATCAAATGAAAAAAAAAAAATCAAATAAGAAAAGCATTGAAGCAAAAGATCATTCAAAATATGAATTCAAGTGCTATTTTTGGAGGTTTTGTCATTGAATTCAAGGCTAATCTAAATGAAAAAGTTGGAAGCGTTAAAGAATGTTGGTGGCCTTTGGATTTTGTCACACCTCAGAGACAATGTTATATGGGGGCATCCTTCATTCAAATTGCGAGAGACAAGAATAATTGAATAAGGCAGAGAGAAAAGGGCAAAGAATGTTGGAAAAGATTAAAATGAGAGAGGGAAAAAAGATAGCAAAGGAGAAAAAGAAAATAGATTATGCATCTATGTTTGATGCTGAAGGAACTAAAAATGAAAGAAAGGCGAATAGATTCTTTAAATTAATGCACATGTAGATGAAAGGCCAAACGAATTGGACGGTAAAATAGAAATTTGAGTCCGAAATAAAGAGTTATCGAACTCTCTCAATTGAAATTGGGAAACTATTTATGTTTTTATGAAAATTATATTTGTGAAATTTGATTGAATTTAAATCTCACCGGTCAAAATGGAGCAGTTGGAAGAAATGAGAAATATCTTAGATAACAAATGGCTAGTTAAAGAAATGTAAAATAAATTATTTACGTAATGCTCTTTAATTATCAATAATTTAATTGCGAAAATCACGTTTAAAATAACTCCAATACGTCTTTACTTTATATTTATGAAGATGAAGATAACAACACACTTAAACCTATTTTGATCAATTCAGATGGATTCAACTTACAAAGAGGACTAGGAAATAAAAGCGACAATGAGGTATGGTTGTTTCCCACAGCACTTTGATGGGCCTTGCCACCTTGCTATACAGCCTGGGCTTTCGTTAGACAAAGAAAAAGTAGTGTGGGTTGATTGACCCACCTAGAGTTTGGCCCATATGGGGTTCATCCAGTAAGAGTGAGACTCATGATCACTTTGTCCAGCATATATAATAAACAAACAAGATCTCATATTTATAATTATTATAATAATGGCTAGGTATTAATCTTAGCGAAATGTTACTTAGTATTTTAAGAGAAATGTTTTAAAAAAATTAATAAATAAAATATATTAAAATACATTGAAAATTATTGAGAGAATATATTGTTATATTTTGAAATAAAAAATTATACTTTTTTCGGGTTTTTTTTTTTAGTCCAAGATTCTTTCGGGTTTGAGCAAATATCAGATACAGTTTGGGTTGAAAATTTATATTGGGCCTAATCAAAGCCTTGTGTCAAGCTGAACATTCTAGATTAGTTTAAGTTCTTTGAGCCCGAGCTGAAAGGGAAGGGATTTGTGAGAGAGGCCTTTTTTTGACAAATTAAAAAAGGCCTATACAATCAATTAATGTTTGCCAAAAAATAATAATAATCAACTAATGCAACAGATTATTACGATTCTGAGCAAAAGAAAAAAAGAAAAGGGGTAAACCGTAAACTGTATACAACTACTATAAGGGTATTGTTCTTTTAAAGTAATATAAAATCTAATTAACCTATAAGTTTAATTTTATTTGAATTATAATCCATCTTTATCTCTTGAAGTACGATAAGTGATTGACATAAAATATTCTTTCTTTGAAAAACAGAAATTGCAAAGTAGTTTTCATACTCGAATCTTGATCCATTCTATCGTGTGATAATATACAGCAACATTCGACTCGAATTTAAAATCCATTAATTATTTTAATAATAAAAATCGTGTTGGCTTTATTCAAACAAATATTCTGATTTAAACAAGTTGGTGCATGTTAATTTGATTCCCATCACTTCGCTTCCTTTCCGCTTTAGTATTTGTATGCTTTTTGCCGTCTGTGTTGCAGACAATGCAGATAACTATATGCTTCAAAGTCTTCCGACGTTATCAAGAATAAGCTACACGCAGGACTGCTTTAAATCTTTCAAAGAAGATAAAGAGTGTCCAGATAAAATAAATAAACTATAACTAGCACATATATTTTATAATTTATTTTTTACTGTAAATTTTGAAAAGATCAAAAACAGTTTTTGATAAGTTACAATATATGAAGAACTTGGAGAATGATTTCATCCTGAAACAACCCAAAATTCCTTCGAGTTTATAAATGGCATAAAAAAGGTGTAATGATGTTTGACACACCCTTTCAAGCAACATCAAGTTTGCAATATTTTTAAGATTAAAGTATTTAAACATAAATTCATTATTTTAATTTTTTAAAAACAAAATCTAATTTTGCAAAAATTAAATTAGTTCAAATTTAAGTTCACAAATTATACTCCAAACACATACCAAGTTGTCATTAAATTACAACTTCATCCGGTGAAATATCTTTTTATAATTACTATAGGGGACGTGTTTAAAAATTTCTTAAAATTGCGTGAAATTTATTTTAATATAAAATTATAAACTTTAACGTTAAAATAAATTTACATTATAGTAAATTTATTATGAATCTAAACACTAAAAATATTGTTGGATGCATGCTTTAGCAATAAGAGGAAAGTGAGGATGCATGGTGTCCAGCCAACAGTAAAACGATAAAGTGACGAGTGTGTTCCGATGTGCGGCAACAGTCAGCATTCTGGTCACTCTTCACAATCTCTATGATTTGAATATTCTAATAGGAACACTGTGTGCGTCAGAGAGATCAAACTCCCCAACCATTCAATTTATATATACTCCATTGTGATATATAAGAACACTAATATCAGTATTTCTACCATGTTAACAATAACATACATAATTAATTTCTTAAACTATATTTCTAATATAAAATTAAAGTCTTGTATGTATTATTCACACAAAAATCTTGATATTCTAACTATAGATGAGGGAGTGGACGGGATTACTGTATAAAAATATTCTGGTCTCTGACTTAGGGAAGCCTTTCATTACACTATTTTTATTTTAACATATCATATATATTATTTAAAATATAAATAAATAACTACTCTTAAAATACGAATCTATGAATTATGAAATATGTCAACAAGTTTGATACTCAATATGAAGAGAAGAGAGCTCTAATCGTCCTTATATTTCGTGTTCTTTTGTACCTACATGTTCAGGAAACCGATAAATGATTTGGCAAATAATCGAGTAAAAATTATTTTTTCTAACTCTCTGCAAAACTCAAATTCAAACAACTAATCAAGTGTCTAATCAACTACGAGTTTATTAATTATTTTAATCATGCTTTTAAACCA